GTTTTGCGAGATCCCGAGTTAGTTTTGCGAGATCCCGGGTTAGTTTTGCGAGATCCCGAGTTTGTTTTGCGAGATCCCGAGTTAGTTTTGCGAGATCCCGAGTTTGTTTTGCGAGATCCCGAGTTAGTTTTGCGAGATCCCGAGTTAGTTTTGCTAGATCTCGCAAAAGTCCGTCTTAATTTTTTTTTCTCCCATGTCCCCTGCGGGGCTCCGTAGTTTTCTGTGTGACGATGCAAGGACACAAAATATTAATGTAATATTAATTATAAATTCAATTAAACTGCTGGAAAATTGTACTATGTTACTGCAACACTGCGCCTATCACCAAATGTAAAGAATGCTAATATCCCGTCGTCAGTGTTATTGTTTAAATATCGTCCTGATCTAATCACAACTGTAAATGTGAGAGTCAGCAACACTGATTTCACTGCAGCTCCATAAATTGCAGAGAAATGAAGCACAGCGGTGTTTCAGGCGGGCTGCTCGCTGAAAGTGCAAACTTTTTTCTAACAGGTACGGACTGGTCCCAGTGCCTCCAGGTGGAAGAGGTTAAAAACACTTATTAATATTTCTTCTAACGTTGTGCTTCATGAGTGATGCCGTATGCTGATGACTAACCGCTGCTTTTCTGTCTCGTTCTCAGGTATAACCTGAGATTTTTCAGACCACCAGCAAAGGATCTTTTCTGCTGAGGGCCTGAAAGCGTTTTGTCCAGAACAGTATACCCAGAGGATCTATTCTCCACACAGTTTCTTAATTTAATATTTATTACTGCTGCTCAATGGAGAGACTTCTGTTTTTTTAGTCTGCTTGGATACTGTCAATGTTCGGATGGCAATGAGAAGACGAGGGAGGAAAGACTGAACGTCCGGCATCATTTGCACTATTCATTCTTTAAATCTTGCCCTGACCTTCTGTCTCTGCACGCTTTCTTAATCTTCTGGATCCACGATCGAAACGATCGAAGCGAGAATCGTCCGCCTCTCACACAGACGGGTGCCTTAGCTATGCTCCCTAATTTCGCAATCATCAGAGGACCTGCTCGCAGAAATGGGAGGCAAACCTTTTTCTTTTAGGTCAAACAGCCGTACCTTTCCACAGATAATGTATCTGTGACCTGGGCCGGATAGTTTGTGATGCTTCTGTCGTCCACCTTCAATCGCCGTTCAATTTTTCCTGTTCAGTAAGAACAATATCCGCCTTACAATCACCAAACCTGCAGAACCCAAAGTGCCTCTGTCCCTAAAAACATCAAAAAGACTTGAAGCCAGCAATCAGAGCGAGAACTTCACTGTCTGATGTTCTCCCAGAAGACTGGACGAGTTTTATTATGGTTTTAATGGTAAGTTGTGTTCAAATCCTGAGCTGAGCCTGTCAGTCCGCCCATCTCTGAGTTGTATCTCCAGCCTTCAGCCCTGGATATTAATCCCTGTGTAAATGATGTTTCAGGTGAACTGTGGGGGGGCGTTGTTCCCCTAATAACAATCAGCTGTTTCCTGCCTTTCCGCCTTGTGAATTGAAAGATAATCAAAGTCGAACCGTTGGGCTGGATTCATCGTACGGGTCCATTTTTTCCCGGCTGAATTTTATATTTCTATTAATCAAAAAGCTAAACTTCAAAGCTGCCTTCATGAAACCGCTGCAGACCCACTTCAGTCGGTCTGACGATAAAAACGCCGCTGACGGGTTTTTTTGCTTTTATATAAGAAAAAAAGAAAACGTTTTATATCAGTGAAGGACTCCAAAGAGAGTTTTTATTCCTTTGTTTTTTTTAATAATCCATTTGATACCAAAAATATGTGTTGTTCTTGTGTAGACGTGTCTTTGTATTATCTTCATTAATTTAAGAGAACAATGCAATGTGTACATACCTCCCAGAAGAACGTTTTCCTATTTAATTTCGCTCGTTGTAAATAATTTTGTATTTATGAAAGAGAATTGTATATATGTCTATGTTAATGTGCCTAATGTCTCCATCAGAATCAACAAATATATATTTTTCTTAAATAAATTAGAAAAATAATATTAATATTATCTCTACTGTGTTTTTCTTTCTGTCTGTGTAACCGAGACTTTGTACATTTCCATGTCTACAAACTAAATTTAGGCTCAGTTAAGCCTCCAGCTTATTTTATGTCAAGGACCAAAACTGCCGACGTGTTAAATGACAAAAAAAGGAGGTAAATACATGACAAATCACAATAAAAGCAGTCGTAGTCGAGTATTTCATTTATTTGCAGATTATACCCATCATTTTTTTATGTCCAGTGCTAACAACATTAATAAGAATTTATTTATAATATCTCACTATTTAATTTCCTTTGTATAATTTATTTATTTCATTTATTAATAATAATCTTTACTTGTAATTTTCTTTTTTATAAACCATAACATTTTGCAAAACCATAAAAATGAAAATAAATGCATGAATAAATGGTTATTTATGTCCAATACAAACAATAATATTAATTTAACCATTTAAATTAAATGTATTTAAAACAACACTGTATTTACCTTCTTTTATTATTAACTCTTCTTTTTTCATTTATAAAATATTGTAGTTCCTT